TGACAGTGTAGGTGAAGAAATTTATCAAGTTCTATAGATATTATTGTGCATTACTTACAGTTGTTTTGGAATTGTGTAATATATGTCATGAACAAGATATAATTTTTTAAAAATGCTAACCCCTTCGAGTACAACTACTCTTCTGTTTTGCTTAAACAACTTACAGCTACCAATACTAATTATTTATATGTACAAACTAACATTTGGGAATTAAATGATAAACAACTTGTTAAATCTTTGTATTTTACATCAAGCCTTTGAATTAGTTCCTTTTATCTCTTGGGAAAAAAATATTAATGAAAGACTTACAAATCAAGTTTCTCAAAAATAGCATTTTGTACAAAGAAACTAAATAATTGGAAAGGTCACATGTTGAAGACAGACTTTGCTTCTTTGACTAGGTTGCTTCACCATGAGCAAATTTGTTTACAATTTGTTTAAAGAATTGTTTTTATTGATTTGTACTAATTCTTCATAAGACACAAAGAATTTCTTTGACATCTATTTTTGCTTCCTCTACATTCAACTTCATTGTAACCAATGCATCCGATGTGAATTTGTGGATCACGTGGAATCATACCAAACCATGCATACACATATATATTTACAATGCATGAATTAAGTAACGAAAGTCAAGCAATAGAAATTAAATAGTTTGATATTTACGAAAGCGGAGTTGGAAGAGCTGCCATATTTTAAAAGGATGAATTGAAACAAGAGACCAGACTGGTGGAATGAGTGTATTGTAATTTAAGAGAAGAGTTGTAATTCTTTGCTAGCCTTAAGTCCCGTGTTAACAAACCGTTTCTTAATATATGTGTATGCATGGTTTGGATTATCATTCTGTCTGTGGATGACTTTGAAATAAATCGAAAATTTACAGTTCACTTCACGTCTTGTTTTGATTCACATTTTTACATCTCAAGATGTCTTGTTTCTTCAGAATTTGTTTTTTACTTAACTCTTAAAGAGTACTCTATAGTCATATCTATGTCAATGTGGTAATGTATGTTAGTGCAATCAGACTAAGTTACACAACATATTTGCAATAAGAATTTTCTTTTAATAAAGTTTTGAGAAAAAAAACAATATATAATCATTTTGTATTTCTGATAAAGATATCTAAATGACAAAAAAATATTTAAAATTTATTTTCTTGTAAGGTTTATCGTACAGTTGCTGCAATTGTTCAGCACGTTTTTGACTGGTAGGTTTGCTTCCCTGCACTGCTTGGCAACATGGTCCAATCTTTTGCATATGTGGCAACGTTGTCCTGTTAAATATTCATAAGGAAGTTGTAGTTCAGGGGCGGATCCAGGATTTTTAATTCCTTAGTCGGAAGGGCGTGGTCGAACAAAATTTTAATAAATGGGCGTGGTCGCATTAGCTAAAAATTCTGCTAACGCAACATTGTTAATATGATGAATTATAAGGACTGTTTCACCCTATATCAGAGCTCATCAGCATGCCTAGGAAATGGCACCCTCACCACGTGAAAATGCAATTCCGACATGGACAGCCTCAACGTAATGAGAAGCCTTAAACAAAAAGAGAGCAGTCTGGTTTTAAGGCGCCAGATACTCGCCTTTCACACCTTTGCAACAAAGCAACAGGAGTTTGATTAGAAAAAGCGACAACGTGGGACATTTCAAAGATGTAAAATTGCTCAGCTTTCTACATCATCCCTGTCATTCTAATCCTTTAACCTCGCCCCAAGAATATGGACACACATAATCTGAATCTAATGGTTATTTTGCCGAGCTAAACAGAAAAGTAACACAAACCACCGCTAAAGAAAACGTCGAAACGCTGACCTAAACATTCAATTTCCATAAATTTTGACGATACTCCAAGCTCAAACTGATTTCTTTTACAAAAAGGTATTGTTTAGGAAAAGATATGCTATTGACTGGTGACACAGTTAACTTATTAATTCCTTTGAGAGCATGACTCCAAATGTCAGTAACCCTGTTAATGATGAAGTTAAATATTTGGTCTTTCATAATGTCAATTGTTCCTTCACAAGTATCACAATTAGACAAAGTTGTTGTTATTCCCAGATCAAAACACATATGCATTAATTAAGACCTTACAAAAGGTGAATATTTCTTGTATGTTAGGTAACTTCATCAAAACGCGCATCATATATATTTTAAGATGTAGATCGCCCGGGTTAGTATAGTCCTTAGAAGGACTGTTGGTGTTGATGTTGACTGACGTTTCGACAACCTTAGTGGTGGTCATTTTAAAAGTCTAGTGACAGAAGATGTTGTATATTTGTACCATTTTCACAGAGATACAAAAGCAATTGTGCAGTGTATGACACACATAAATTGACGTTTTCAATGTTCTTTTAAAAAGTGCTACGAGAAAGAGATGAAATACAACATCCAATATTCCTAATTCAAACTTGAATAGACATATTAAAATGATGCAACACATCATACAAATAATTTCAAAATGGTTTCACGCAGGCTCAGAGGATTACCCATAGTGAAATTATTTAATATACGAAATTAAGGCTAAGTGACACGTTTGTCACTAAGATTTATGAGATATCATGACTATACAAAAAATTAGAAGCTCTTTCTTTCCTTCTCGTCAAAACTACAATGACCAAGCCTAAAGAGTCAAATTTTTACAATTTCAGTTTCCATACGCAAATTTATTGATCACCTCATCAACAGTAGGCTCTATTTCCTGATGTATTCGCATTAGTGCAAGTCCATTTAAGCGTTCTTCAACCATCGTACTTCTGTTGTAAGTTTTAAGCATGCGAAGTGCTGAAATAGAGCGTTCGCGCTCACAAGAAGTAACTGGAAGAGTGGCTAGTAACCGTAGACATGCCTTAATATTCTCAAAACCTTCAAACCCTAAAGCTTTAAGTGTGGAAGCTGCACTGTCCGGTAATGATCCCTCATATGTTGTCCAAAACTTTTCCCATAATTCCAATTCAGCATCTAATCCTAAGGGATTAGGAAGATCATCTTTGTAAAATCTGAAAACAAACGAAAATTCTTTCCAATTCTTTTGTTTGGTGGAAGACTGTTAATTAGCGAAATCATTTTGATGGAACAACGCTAAAGCCGTTATAAACGTTGATTTGACTAAAATCAAATCTTGCCTGAAGATCAGAGTTTAAGTGGTCTAGAAAAGGAATAGTGAGAGCCTTTTGTAATAATCTGAAGCGCTAGAAGATGGGTGATTCTCATTGTGAACTTGTCTGCCAGCTGTTCTGGGCATTTTTCATCGACATCTACGTTTTAGCTAAAGAAACTGCTTCACTATACCATTTACCATGATATAAATCAACATCATTCCTCAATAAAATTCCCAAGTTTTTTAATGACTCAATTAAATGCATTCCATCCATAACATCACAGGTTTTAGCTTGTAATAACTGAGTAACAGGAAGTGTTAAATCTAAAATATTTCTACTAATGACAAGGCTAACAATAAATCTGAAGGTGGAAATCAATGCTAGGAAAGAAGAAGCTTTAGAAGATGTTTCTGGATTACACACATGACCAGCATTATGGCTCATTTCAGTTAAAGTATGAAAAATTGGAAGGAATAATTCTTGAAATATATCTAGACCATCTATTCGCTCAATCCATCGAGTTCGACAAACATCCTTTAACTTTGATTTACCTGAATGTGGGCAATAGTCTTCAACTGCTTTTGAAAGTAACATTTGCCGTCCATCAGAGAGATTGAAAAAGTAAGAAAGTTCTTTAATTTGACTAAAACATTTCTGACAAAGGGACAGAACATGAATTACATATTGCAAGATTTAACCTATGGCTGTAACAGTGGGTGTAGATTGCTTTAGAATTCAAACGAAGAATGCGTGCAGAAAGACCATTGATATGCCCTGCAACAGCCCCAGCTCCATCATATCCCTGACCTCTGCAATCCTCAATGCTTAATTTTAGTTCTGTTAATGCACTGTGAATTAATTTCTCAAGACTTTCCCCTGATAAACCCCATTTGCAGTGCAAAAACCTCACAAAATCTTCTCTAACATTCCTATTGCTATCTACAAAACGAATCACAAGAGAAAGCTGCTCTTTGTTTGAAGAATCTGCTGCTTCATCAGCAATTATACTAAAAAATTTATTTATTTTTATTTCACTAGTTATTTTTTCAGTGATAACCTGTCCACAAGCAGCAATTAGATCATTTTGAGTAGTCTTTGAAATATAAGAAGCATTCTTTGCACAGTTTTTCAAATGATCAGCTAAAACTGTGTCACCAGCCCGAACACGAAAATTTAACAATTCAACATAGTTACCAACACCACCTTTTGAGTAAGAACCAACCTCCGGATGATATGAAGAATCATCACGGTGCCCTCTTAATGCTAACCCAAGTCTACCACAAAGTTTAATAGTATCAATTATTGATACAAGTTTTTCCCTATTTTGCCTGATGACTTGCTGTTTGTGCTCATCAATCAACACCTCAATCTGCAGTCCTTCTCCTGATGCCTGACCAACTAATGACAAATATTTATTACGTGTGCTTTCGTGCAAACCTGCTCTGGTGAGAGCCTTAGAACTCAAACCAATATGGCGTTTGAAGCAAGCTTTAGCATCAGGCCAATATGTCATTGGTTCACTAAAAAGTTTTTTAATTTTTGTATTTTTATTCGGAAACTGATCACCAAACAAAACACAAGGCAGACAAAAAGCACCATCCAAAGAAGGGAGTAACACAACCAAGAATAATCTTCCAGCCACGAATAAAGAAAAGATCGACCATCAGCTGATTTAGGAAATGGGTAGGATCTATTCGGTTTAAAAACATTGTGAATGAGCTGGAGCTTTTGAGAATCATTCATATTTCTAGCTTTTTCTCTAAAATATCTCACATCATTTGGATATTGCTGTGAAAAATCTAATGAAAATGATTGCAAAAGTTCTTGTTTTGGGTTATGTATTAAACCAAGACTAGTGATGGCAGGCACTTTTGTGTTGATTGTGTTTGTGTAGTACTAAATAATTTGGGCAAAATAAATTGTTTAGCCTTATTACTTGCTGGGGTTGAAACTGGTTGAAAAAAATTAGAAATGTTAACAGTAGAAGACTCTCCTTTCAACTTTGCCTGAACATGAGGAATTTTCTTGTTAGCTTTTTCTAACAAAGCAGAAGCCTTTCTTTTAGTTTTACTGATAGGTTTGAAAATAAGAGGTGCAAAGTGATTTGGCTTAAAGACTTTACTAGAAGTCAATAGAGTTGTAGAACAAAACAAGAGGTATAAATAGTTATATTGAGTAGGTGGTGTTGGTAAAGGAAGACGAGGTGAAATAATTTGGTTGAATAACAACTTAAAAGAAACTTCTCCACAATCAGGATACATCAAAGAAATGATTCTATTAGTAACTGAGGAGAGAGCAAGTATACACAAAAACTACCCCAAATTTTATCTCTACAGTTGCAAAGAGCTTCCATTTTAACAAGATCAAGCCCTGATAAACGTGAATCCACACTTTCAAAACAACAGGACATAGCCAAAACATTTTTTGCACTAACAGAGACCTTGTCACCATGCTTCTCTAAGGTGGAAGTGAATATTGGATGATAACAATAATAATTTGCATATATAAAAAGCTCTATAGATACCATAGCTCTCAAAGTGTGAATGAGAGCATTGCTTCCAACCAAGGCCAGAGAAGCAGAGCTGTATAGACAATTTCCAGATGGTTCAGATCTAGTAAAACAGCAGTCGAAAGATTTCTTGATTATTATAAGACTGCAACAATTTATGCAATGTCAACAAAGCGAGTTAAAAGCGATCATTTCAACAACAATGAAATGACAACAAATCGGCAGTTTTGGTCTTAACGTGTCATAACAACTACGCAATTAGGCTTATATTCATTTCTACTTATCTTAATTTAACTAATTTTACCTTAGAGCAACCGATGGCTTCGTATTGTCGGCCTTCACATGATGAGGCAAATAGACTGTCTCAGCATTTACATCACGATACAAAGATCGTCCAATTAAAGGAAAATGCTCTTTAGGCATTAAGAAATGAGAAGAATTATATATACCACATAATTCCTCAAAGGTCTTAAGCAAAGCAACATCATCACTTTCTTTTAAGTCAGAGAGAACCCGATCTAAAATACTGCTAGAGTTAGCCATGACGATCGATAAATATTCAAGCGCAATGAAGCAGACAAATATATTCCGACTAAGTTCGCTACAACAACCAATCAAATCCGAAGATTCGGCAACATCATATACTAAAAATAGATATATCCTGCAAAAAACTAACAATGTTGACCAATCACAAGCTTTAAATTGGTATAGATCCTGCAAGAAATCTCCACCAATTACAGCTATATAGCTGGTTCGTCTGGGCAAATCAGAATCACAGAATGAACATAGATCCTGCAGATCCTGCGCAATACGCTAACCAATGAATGCTCGCAAATTGATCAATTTAAACCAATGAAAATCGGTATATGGACCCAAATCCTGCGGAAATTTTAAAACACTCAAGTGTTATAATTTAAGGAATACCCACGGAATTTTTTGAAAGTGACACGTTAATACGTTAGTCGCCCGACTTAGTTGACTAAGTTTAAATCCGCCTCTGTAGTTCATGACACTTTTTATTTGTTTGTGTCATTAGCTTATTTCTATTAACAATAATGCATGCAACTTGAAGTTTTCAACTATCTAATCAAGCTGATGTTTTATCACTAGGTCAATCAAACTTACTTCTTCTCATACGATTAAACTCTATACAAAAAAAAAGTATATAATTGTCAATTACAATGGTCATGAAAGAAATGTTATTTCATTTTATGTCATTACTTTTCTCGCATTCATTCATTTTGTGGCCTTTGTGGCCACAATTATAGCATCCTCCTTCATTAAAAAAACAATGGCAATTATCAGCCTGGCATCAAAGGCAATTAGTACATGTATACACTATACCACACCTTTGTTAGGTGCTGTTTGATTTGTTATGTGTATGATGAAATTTCAGGTTAAAAGACTTCTGCAGTGAGGCCATCTACCAAGAAGTAACTAACTGGTACTTTCCAAGATGAATCTAGAGCAACAGCCATGTATACCAAAACTTCTGTTGCTTCAGGGAGTGAATCATCATCAATCCCAGTACCAAGGTCAACATAACCACAAACTTTTTGACCATCCCATTCTACGTGTTTGCGGATTGACATTTCATCCAGCATCAATGCACATATGACTTCCTTGCCATCTTTCTTTGATTCTTGAACCTTCACTTTCAAAGCATTCAAGGCATCCATGGAATTATACCAAGATCGAATTACTCTTGGATGAGGTAAGGCTAAATTAAACGTCTCACGAACATAATCATAAGCCCTGGGCGAGTAAAATTTCAAAGTTAGTGCAAAAGCTTGCAATTCTGGGGGGTATTGAGCACCTTTTTTACCCTGAGTGTTTGCCACTAAACTACTCAAAATATCTTCAGGAACCCCAGATAGTGAAGCATTAAGAAGCTCAGCTTGATCAGAGCTGATCATTTTATCATCTTTAAGGCAATCAATGATTGACAATAAATCATTTACCTTCTTTTTTAGTCTACTTTTTTCCTTATTAGACACTTTTAACCTCTTTCTATAAGACTCTGCCCGGTCAATAACATCTTCCAATTGCCTTTTCAGTCTCTTGGGAGACTTAAGACAATACATTCAACATCCTGCACCTGTTGAAATAATGTGGGCACAGCACTATCTTCTAGACACACTTTGTTACCTGTTATTCTCTTCTTGCTATCGGAAAAATGATCTGAACAAACTTTGCTCCACTTAGTTAGAACTGTGAGAGGCGACCATTTCTTTATACTATTTACCCATTCCGAAAAAAGTGCAGGGTTTTTTTCTTCGTCAGGAAAACTATTTGAAATAGATTAGTAAATTTATCGTTTCATGCGTTGATTCAACAAATAAATAAAAAAATTTGTTGAATTTTTTAAAAAAACACACAGGAAAACATCAGTGTATGCAGTATTTAAGACAATGTTTTTTCATAAGGCCTAACAGATTTTGGGGCTTTCAATTGTATAAATGCCGATTCAATCTTTCAGGAACAAACAAAATAAGCGAGTAACTCACCAGTGAAAACCGATGTGCTTCGTGTTTTCAATATTACGACATTCTACAATTGAACATCGATTAGGCATTTTTGAAAAAAATATTGTTTTGGCCTTGAAAAATATTGTTTATTTATCATACAGCTCGCAATTGCATTTGAAATTTTCAACTGAAGGCGGGAAAATCAATAACATCAATCCGGGGGAGGTCGAGAATATTATTTTTTTGCAAAGCGATCATCTCAGCGGAAATACGTCCTTTGGCCGCCATTTTTTTGGAATCCTCGCCCCAGTAAAGTTAGCCGCTCTAGTTATTATAGAACTCAATGGTCGGCACCATTCAGTTCTATAATAACTGGAGAGGCTAAGTGGACTGGGGCGATATGCCAAAAAATGGATGCCAATCAGTGAACTCTATAACAACCAATGAACTCTAATACAAGTGGAAGGCTAACTCAATATATACATGCCTAGACCAATGAACTCTACAACAACTGGAAGGCTAACTCAATATACGCATGCTTAGACTTGTCCGAAGCCACTAAGAAGCTGATTTGCCGCTTTGCGTGTATCTCGCGTGGACTGTTTTATTTTGCGTGACCGATTGTTTTGCAAAAACTGCTAACTTGGAAATAGAATGCCAGCCTAAATGTTTTATTTTTTCAAAACCGTTAGCAAAATTTGGTTATTAATGTGTTAAAATGCATTGAGGACGTTCCAAGGCATGTTTTGTATACGTAACGCTGTACTATAAAAAACATAAAAGTGAGAACTTGCTTCGAAATATGAATTCCTCATTTGTCGTCGAAAGCCCAAAAATATAAGATAAAACTGATAACAGGTAGTCTGTATCTTTGAATGCTGTGCAAAATACACACAATCCACTTAATATCACATGTTTCATAACAATTTTATTGCTTTTAAAGTTAGACTTGCTTTTAAGGATTTCACATGCTCTTTTTGTAATTTTTGAAAGTAATGATTTGAAATTTTGAACTGTGGGTGATTTTTGGTTCTTGTCATTTACTTCTCCCACTTCTTAAGAACTGGTGGAAGATTTGACATGCACCCATATTTTTGTATTGAGCATTTTATCAGCAAGTCCATGCTTATAAATAAATAGCCAAATGTACAACCTGACAAGTATTGCTAATATAACCTGCTCTACATAAATGCCAAAAAGCAATCTCATCCTCAGTGGTTTGAACCAGGGTTTTAAAATGATTATAAAGCAAGCAAAGCTATATCATATATCAAAATTTTATAGTATATCATAATGATTGTAAAATTAGTTTTTTCTTGTAATACAGATGATGATAAATGTATATGTAATACATTATATTTTAGGATGTGTGTTTAAAATGTTTGGTCATGTTTGTGAAAATATACGATGATTCTATAATATTATGTTAAAAATCTTTTTCATACTTGTATTACATTACAATTTTTACTTAAGTGTTTCAAAAGTTATGAATATGGAGTGTCATTTGTGTTTTTGTCTTTTTTTTAAGTGGGTATTGACCTATTTTTAATATTGTCTCTTTAATGGTGAAACTAATAATAACAAAATAATATGGCATAACAGTTTTCTTTAAAACGAACTCAAAATATTTTTTTGCTAACTTTTTCAAATATTTTGCAAAATGTTTTTTTTTGTTTACGCTCTGAACTTTCAAAAAGGTCTGGGGCGAGCTAATTTTGCTCGGAAACAGAAAAATTATCAAAAAACAGTGTTTTTTGCCCTGACAGCTTCATTTTCATAGATTCAAACAATATTATAAGGATAGACCAAAAACCATGACCAGCCGACAATTTAAAGAAGTATAATATAAAACAAATTCCGAAGAAACAAGACATCTTGAGATTGCAAAATATGAATCAAAACAAGACGAGAAGTAAACTGTAAATTTTCGACTTTATTTCAAAGTCATCCTCAGACAGAATGATTATTAAAAGGATTATTCTCATTCTGTCTGAGGATGACTTTGAAATAAAGTCGAAAATTTACAGTTTACTTCTCGTCTTGTTTTGATTCACATTTTGCAATCTCAATATGTCTTGTTTCTTCGGAATTTGTTTTATATTATATTATAAGGATAGACAAGTGTGTTTTACAATTTTTTAATGAAAAAAAACGAGGGTGTCAAGTTCTAAGGCATGCTTTCACGCCAAAACAAAGTTCGCTTTTCATCCTTCTAAAAAGAAGCTTAAACATGTACAAATGTCGTTTAAACTTGTTTTATATTAAAGTCTAAACATTGTTTAAGGTTTTTAGACATTAAGCTGGCTCGAAGATCACTGTTTTTTTGCAAAAAATCCCGCAATTTCGAAGTGATCTATTTCGCCTCCGTACCCTCAATGGCGACGATCATGCGGGCTTCAAAGATGGCGGCCAAGTTAGCCTTCCAGTTGTTATAGAGTTCACTGTTTCTATTAGACCTGGAGGGGGAAAGAGGCCTGGACCCGGTTGTCAAAAACATGGCATATTCACTCCCTCCTGATTTCTAATACTGTTTATATGAACGATAACAAGTGAAAAAAACCAATTACGATACCGACAGCATATCATGTGAAATAATGCTTCAGCATTGCGTGAAAACACAGTACACACACACGTTAAAATAAAGAATATCGACGGCAGAGAAACGCATATTTTGGCTGTAACATTTAAGTTGTTTTATGATATTTTTACCTTTTGAAAATGAAAATCAAACGGTGTTCTTTAGTAGACCGGTCAATCTCGTCAAACTTATACATTACTTCATGCTTCTGTGTGTTTGTTTGTTTGTAAACAGTTTGGTGCAACTATTTTTCTTGCTAAAATGGATAAATCTGTGTTAATTGAGAAAATGTTTGCTTTAGTCCTACGATATAAGTCAACTGAAAATTTACCTTGGATAAGTATCATAAGCGTATTCTCATCACCTGATAACTCTACTGAAAACTCATAAAGAAAGTATGTTGAACTAGAAGAGC